TTTTTCTGTTTCTATTTTATTATATCCCATACTTATTTTTATATTTTTGTAAGCAATATGATAGAATTTAACACCAATAGATATGTAATATTCTTCCCAAATGAATGACTATGAGGTCAAGCATATAATTTAAAGAAATCATAAGGTTGCCAGAGAAACTATCAATATGCCAAATGTGCACAATCCTACCACATTCATGCCCATGTTTCTCATTTAATAGTGCACACATATATGTAAAAACATATCTCCCACACATATACACAATGCATATTTTCTACAATACAATATATACTTAGGTATAATAAAATAGCGCAGTGATGTGTGGAATGTTGGTGATTTGTATACTTTGAGGAAACACAAATATCATCTTTGAGGGAGTTGGAGAATTTGTAATATGTATCAGATACTAAATGATATTAATGATTAAGTATAGTTATAATAAAATTTACTTAAAAATTAATATTCATCATCAGTAGAAAATAAGTACAAAGATATATTGATAACAACATTTATCTTAACAAATTTCCAACCAAACAAGCTGTAGTGACAGAAAAGGAAGTTTGTAGAAAGCAGAGATGAGAGAGGAAAATGACAGATGGACCTTTATACTTTTCATACTACTCATATATACAGATTTCATAAATTCTCAAATAAAAAAGCGAAGAAAATGAGAACCAAAATAACTTATCAATTTGGTAGACCAACATATAGAGACAAGGATTAATGTATTGATAAATTTTTAAAATATGAAATGTAAAGCCTGAGATTTAGCTCAATAGTGCTGCACCTGCCTAGCCAGAACAATGTGCCGAGTTTAATCCCCACCATCAGAGGAAGAAAAAGAAAAAGGAAAAAAAGAAGAAAAGAGGAAAAAAAAGCATATATACTTTCTCACATGCTCAATCAATTAAAAATAAATTACTTGTTATCTCTTCCTCTTGAATTGTTCCCTTCACAAGGATGTAGTGAACTTCTTTGTCTCTTCCAATCAGTTTAAGTTTGAAACTTACTTTGTTTGTGAATAAAATTGCTATTCCTGCTTTTTTTGGGGCGGGGGCTCCTGTTACATGAAGAAGTTTTCTGTCCGTTCACTTTCAGTCTATGGGCTTCTTTTTACACTAGACGTGTCTTGAATACAGCATATTATTGGATCTTACTTCTTAATCCATTCTGCTGGTGTATTTCTTTGATTGGTGAATTGAGGCCGTTAATATTGATGGTTATAACCGATATGTACTAACTTATTATTATCATTTTTTTTTCACCTTCTCCTTTTAGTTTCTTGGCTTGCCTATTTAATTTGCTCTGTTGGGCCTCATTGTGTTGTTACCTTCATTGTCTTTTTCTAGGATATTGTTTAGAATTTGTTGTAGTGCTGGTTTGGTATTCATAAAATTTCTCAGGTGTTCTTTATCCTGGAAATATCTTACTTCCCCATCCATTTTAAAAGAAAGTTTTGCAGGATACATCAGTCTAGGTTGGAGGTTGTTTTCTTTTAGTACTTGAAATATCTCATTCCAGGCTCTCCTTAACCTAAGGGTTTGTATTGAAAAGTCTGCTGTAATTCTGATGGGCTTTCCTTTGCATGTAATTTGTTTCTTGTCTCTTACTCCTTGTAGTATTTTGTTCTTCTGTTGGGTTTCTGAGATCTTGATTATTATATGTCTAGGTGTAGATTTTTTTTATCACAGCTAGTTGGAGTCCTATATGCCTCACTATCTGTATGTCAAATTCTTCCCCTCTATTTGGGAAGTTTTCTATAATTAATTCTGTGAACAGCTTTTTAAAGTCATTTACATTTTCTCCTATTACTTCTTGAATTCCTATCAATCTTATGTTATTCTTCTTAGTATCGTCTAAGAGTTGTTGTATCAATTTCTCATGATCCCCTACTGTTTTTAAGAGACCTCTCTTTTCACGGTCACTGACTGCAATAGTCACTGACTGCAATTTTATCTTCTATATCTGAGATTCTATCTTTGGACTCTTTTATTCTTTTGTGGACACTCTCAATGGAGTTTTTAATCTCCTGGATATCTGTTTGAATCTATCCTATGGATTCCATTTCTTTCTTGTATTGGGCATTTATTGTTTCCAATTCTTTCTTATGCTGGGCATTCATGGCTTCTATCATGGTCCTGAGCTCATCTATTTTCCTCTCAGTTTCTGTTCTAGAGTCACGAATTATAACTTTCATTTTGCTTGTCATCTCTGATTATCTGGGAAATTACTTCAGTTTTATATTTCTCTAGAGCCTGATTGATCAGTTTTGTTACTTCCTGTGCTTTGAGTTCAGGGTGTCCTGTTGATTCACTATCAGACTTTTCATCCTCATTTGCCCCACTATTTGTCATTGGTGAACTGGAAGTCTGTCCGTATATCTTGCTTAAGCGTTTTCTCATTTTTACTATTGTTGTTGGGTTATCCTTAGTTTTTAACCTTTAGATTATTACTTAAATCTTCCTGATATAGTTGGGCTGCAGCCCATGGGTCTCCAATGACTCATAGACATTCTCATTTTCATCATACTGAAGAAAACAGCTCATTGAATCAATCAAAATCCTTTATCCTAATTGATACAATCAGCACGACAATATAATGAAACACAATTTGCAAACTGACCACTTATGGTAGTCATCAATCTATCACCTTCAAACCATGTAAATTTAATTAAGATCAAGAAGTAATCCAAAATATGCTTACAGTAAATAAACTTTTCAATAAGGACATTTACCATTTAAATGGGAGCTTAAAACAAAGTTAAAACAAGAGTAGTAGGTATGTATAATAATTAGAGAAGGTTTCATATGAAGCCAAAAGACATAGAATGACCAGACAGTCATTAGGAAATTGTTAAATTCAAAAAGAACAAACAAAATAGAAATATAGTAACCCTTGAGTGAGGGAGAATAACATAAGAAAAGAACATAAAGAAAAGAGAAAAAAATAATAAAAAGAAATCTGAATTAGGACAAGAGCAGAAACAAAGAGAAATGAGGGATACTATAGTGGAGTAAGAGACTGAGTTAGAGAAAGAAAACAAAAAGAAAAAAAAAGAATTTGCAGAGTAGGATGAAAAAAAGAAAGAAACAAAAATGAGTTTAAAGGGCCTCTTTCAGATTATATCACTGCTGTCGTAATATACAATATGTGCTGCCATGTGCAGAGCCGAGGCCCCTGACCTCAGCTAGCTGGTGGCAGAACCCCGCAAAGCAGACTGCAAGGCCCAGACTGAGTTCCCAGACCTCCTAAAGGGCTGAACTCCACTCAGTTCTACTATAAGTTTCCCCCACCACTTCTTTAAAGATGTTCAAAGTTGAAAGTGCCAGAAAATACTCTTTATGACCACCTCTGACTCTACAGAGTAGGTCCAAAGACTGGCACAATCAGGAGGTCTAAAAGTGCGAGGGGGAAAGTTGCGGGGGGGTTCAGGGGTGCGTGCGCAGCTACCTTTCTAGCGCTGAAGATGGCAGCAGTGGTGCCAGCAGGGGAGGGCCCGGCCGAGAAGACCCTCTGGCGCTGAAGATGGCGGATGCAGCCTGCTGGGAGATTTTAAAAAATTATTCCAATAAAGTCAACCATTAACTAGTAGTTGGTCCATTAAGATACCTCCCCTCCTTCCTTTTCTCCCTTGTCTTCTGGTGTTTTTCAGAATCATTGCTTAAAAGTTTGGGATTTCTAAAACCAGAATTAGGAGACAGTGGAGAGTTCTTAATGGAGCCAGCCATTCCCATGGGCCTCTTTCTTGCATCAGCTGTTTTAGGTCAAGCCAGATATCTGTCTCCTAAACTCAAATAAGCGTGCAGATTCTTGTAGTGGGTTGTGTTCTCTCTCTACTTTTGCCAGTAAGCTCCTTTTCCATCCTTCACTGAGCTTCTTTCAACTATAACAAAAAGAAATAGGTTAGCCTACTCCGGCCACAGAGATCTGTTGAAATATGTAATAATGGGCTATGCTTTGGAGTCTGAATATTTGGCTTGAGAGATAGACTGGTGAGTTACGTTCACCTTCTATTCTGGCTATGTCTGATCCCACTTTAGATCTTGGCCTAACTGCTGAGTCTCTCTTTGTATTTGTTGTTGTTGTTGTCGTCCCAGTAGATGGACTTATTTTAACTGCTTGATGGAGAACAGCCAAAGTCTTTGTCTTCACCAGGGCTCATGGCCCTGGCTACGGGGTGAGACCAAGGCTACAAGTGGACAGGCCCACGAAGAATTCATTCACTGATAATGAGCCCCTGGATGTTCCTCTCTTGGCACTGGTCTGTAGATTCGTTGTTATTTTACTCTGATTTCAAATGCACCAGAGAAACTCATCATCTGAAGAAGTTCTAGCCAGAATCCCTTTGTAAAAATAATATATTTTGCTAATGTGCTTGGAAAAGCAAAATCTATTGTCATCATTTAACTTTTTGGAAATTTATATTTGTGCCTACTAGGTTTATATAAAAGAGGGGTTGCCTCCAATTTAGAGCAAATGAAAACCTTCAGCAGAGAAACTTTAAATCTTGAATTGTCATGCCTTAATCTGGTTTCTGAATGGAATTATATTTGGTCAGTTTCATAAACAATCTTGCTTCTTGAGTTTTGAAAAACAATGATAAAGGTGATATGAAAAAATGATAGTTTTCTTAGGATGTGATGACATTTGGTGCAAATTTCTTCAAGGGAACTCTGGTGTGCTTCCTCCTCTCCTCAACAGCTGGTTGTAGCATGACACTGGAGCAAGAGGCCCAGGGTCTCCAGTCTGCCTAGTGAAGACAGAGTATCTCATCTTGGAAGACTCTGGGAAGTTAGTTTGTTTCACTCTGTGCCATGAACTAGTCAGCAATGATTCTGGAATGGACTCAGACTGTAGGGTAACTTCTCTAAGTTCTAAGGGCGCATTAGGTATAGCCCAGTAAGTAAAGACAGACCCTAGAGTAAGGCCCCTGGCTCAACATCCAGGCCATGTGGACTGCTGGTTGCAGAGCACCTTGCAAGGGGAGTATAGCTGCTCACCTGGGGAGGAACATATCCATCTTGGCTCACCTCAGCTTGCTGATCCAGAGGTCAAGGACTCTGGCTGTAAGTTGTGGCTCAGTGTGGCCCAGGGGTGTATCTCTGTCACAGGGCCGTACCAGGAAGAGACTTGCTGCCCTTCCCAGGTATGGTAGCTCCAGTGGTGACACCTGATGGCCTACAGAATCCTGGAACTGGCCCGGGGGTTCAGTGGGTCAGGAATTAGCAATATCTCAGGAACCAGGGAGACGGAACAGTTCCAGACCCTGGGAGGAGGTGGTGCATAGTTTGGGAAACAGTAAAAACAGGTGTTTATCTCACTCCTATGGCGCAGTTTAAGGCTGAAGACTGTTGGGTGACATGGTGCCTTACTGATCCTAAGGTCCAGAATCTCTTAGATACCCTCACAGCGCCCAAGTCAAAGGACCTGCTGTAGATATATACAGTGGGGACAATGACACATGGTAGAACTATATATACTGTCTTAAAGGGGCAGCCCCTCCAACCCTGGCCCACAGGGACCCAGGCCTTTTTGCTGGATTTCTTTATCTCAATAAAAGCTCTATATTCAGATATAATATGAGATTTCTTAACTTTTAAAAGACTATGCAGATTTGATGTAAAATGAATTCAGGCTGGATTTGACCTGGTGAGTCATAATTTATAACCTGTGACATAAACCAGTAGATTTCAGGATAGGGAGCTGGGAGCTCATGGGAAATAAAAATGTCTGGCAAAGCATGATTTCAGAAGGGTGTGATGGGACATGTGGTAGGTGGCAGCAGACAGAGAAAACCAGTTGCAGGGAGACCCACTAACAAGGAATGGATGCTGAGTAATGTAAACAATCCAGGTGGGCAGGGGAGTCTCATGATGGACTTGAATTTACATCCTGTCCTTAGGTGGATGGTGAGGCCAAGGGCCTGGTATGGGTTGGGAACAGAGCTGCCAGGCCACTAAGGCAGAATCTTAGACTCACTACGAAAATATGGGAATGCAGTTCCCACGACATCGTTCACCTCGTCTATAGATCCTCATTCAGCATCCACTGTGTGCCAGCCACCATGCACACTTGTGTCCTGGGAAGAACAAGAGTCACATGGAGCCTGCCTGCTGCAGCACAGCTAGCAGTCAAACTAACCTGTGTGGTCAGAACAGCAATAATAACATGACAAGAACAAGAACTATAATTGATTGTATATGCATATTTATTCAACCAATAGATGTTTGGTTCTCAACTCACAAACACACAAATACATTTCCTGAGCACTTACTATGTGCTTACAAAGGATCAAGGCAGAACTACTAGCTAGGTTGCTAAATGCCAAGGTTCTGAAGACAGTGATTGAAGCCTCACTGGCTTTTCCCTGAAGGAGCATAGAATAAGCCCCATAACCTGCAGGAGGGTGAGGGGTATCACAGGGGGAGGATGGGCATGGAGTAGGAGGTGGCCTGCCCTTCCTTGAAGCACAGCGATCCTTGGAGTTCACTGCTCACTGCAGTCAGCTAGGAAGGGGCTTCCTCCAGGCATATGCTGACATCGAGCACCACCCGTACACCAGAATGAGTGAGTAACTGTTGGGCAAGCAGGCACACAGAATTATGGCATTTCAGGAGTAATGGGACCTTCAGTCTAGTGGTGGCTGGAGGGCCTTTTAGATTCAATCTTCATGCTAGCTCAGCAGCCATTTTATGAAGGTTCCTACCTAGGGTGTGTTTGGTTCAGAAATCTGGTTTTCCATTAACTCCTTTCTTACTAAATGTGGAGCAGATATTGAGCATGAAATTTGGTTCTCATCCCCTTCTTCATCCTCACTGTCCTTATGGGTACACACTGTCCAGTGGCCCCTCTGAATTTCCTCTCTCCTTGGGTTTTCTTTTGGCCAAATGACAGTCCAGAGGATGAAATCACACAGAAGCACACCTCAACCAACCCTTGAGGAGCATAGGCCTGGACTTTCCTCTGCCACCCACATGGCCCAGCTCCCTCCTACCCAGGGGGAGAGGCTCACCACAGTTGACCTCAGCCATCTGGCGCATCATGGGGACCTGGAGGATGAGGCCATGGGCAAAGGTGAAAGGCAGGGGTTGTGAGTCTGTGGAGAAGAATATCCTCTGCCAAGTGCTTTGGAAGGTCATGGTGCTCACAAGGGCGAGCTGGGCAGACATAGTGCTGACCTGCTCCCATGGGGGGCTGCCTGGGCCCCTGCCTGGAATCGGGGGAGTAAGCAGGAGGGTAAATGTACACTACGATCACACTGAAGACAGTATGAATGCGGACAAGGAGTGCAGAGCTAATGTGAAAAACACAAGATATCTTTTGATGTGATATTTTTCTGCCCTACCTTTTGTCTCTGTCTCGTGTTTCACAATCCCTTTTCAATTTACTCAAAATTGTTTAATTCCCTAAGTTCCTTGTGCTGCTGGAGACCCAAGGCCACACTAGCTGCTCTCAACTTTCTCCCTTGTGCTTGGGCCATGGAAATGGAAGGTGAGAATACACTGCATCCCAACATCCATATATCTGCAGATAGGCTGTCGCCTACTTGATAATATCTATTTATTACAGCACACTTGCGTGTTTATAACTAGCTGTTGCTGAAGATCATACTCTTTTTTCTTGAACAGGAATGCTTCCCTTGCTTCTATCTGGCCCATTTCCCAGGAACCACCAGACATTCCTTTCCCACAGAGGCCTTTCTTGATTTAATAAACACATACTTTGTGCTAGGCTCTGTCCTAAATTCTTGAGCAAATTCTCCCTGACTCTTAACTCATTATTCCTCATTTTACAGGTGAGGGAACCTAGGCTCAGGAAAGTTGGTCACATATTTGTGAGGGGCAAATCCACCAGTCAGCCAGTTACCAAGACAGAAATCTTGGATTTGAACCAGAGAAGCCTGACAGAAGACTCTGGATGACTGAAGTAGGCAAATCAGTCTGGGAATTGAGAACTGCAAGTGTGACCTTTGGTGTGAATATGAGGGTGGAGGCTCAGACAAGGAGCTGACATGTGGGCTCCAAACTTTTTAAATAAATTGACAAGATGTTAAACACTCCAGAAAATTCAGAGTATTGCAAGCCTATTCAATTACAATGCATAGCCTATTGCTTCCTACTTTGCTTTCTGAGTAATATTGTAATTTCCAAGGATGCTGTAGCCATATCATCTGGGTGAAATCCTGGCTTTGTGAACTCATGGCAGACAAGACACTCAGCCCTTGGTTCCTCCAACTGTAAAATGGGGACAGTGCCAGTGTCTACTTCCTAGAATTATTGTGGGAGTGAACTGAAATAATAACCTTCAAGGAGTGCTAAATAAATAAATGTCCAGTGAAGATTAATGATTTCCATAATCTTCAATAGCAATTACAATGGCGTGGTAGCAGATGCTGTTCCTTCCTGAATCACACCTTGTTGTTGGACAGTTAAGTTTTATCTAAGTCTTTTTCTTCAATAAAACAGAGCTCAACTTCTTATTGCATGTAGCTTTTTCATGTTTTGAAGTATTCCCTTACCCTAAATTTCCTTACCCTAAGTAACCATATTTTTGTTTCCTGCTTCACTTTGATATCACAATTATAGATGAGAACTGAGCTAAGTAGAAACTCAATGAGGTGGGGCGGGGGAGAGGCAGAGGACAAAGCCTGTAGGCTGTATCCAGAGACGAGAAGCTCTGAGAACTCCTCCATGTGCATTTGTGCTTGTGCACATGTATATTTACATGCGTGTGTGTTGGGGGAGTGATGGAGAGGGAAGCAGAAGGGGACAAGGGTCAGCTTTGCTTGCTTCACAGAACCCCCACCAAAAAGTTTTCCCAAGGGGACAAAGTTTTGCTGCATTTGAGGGTGGCCTGAGTACCATGGCTCTGACAAACAATTGGTGATAGTGCCTTTGCAGCCCTCTAACCTTAGGAGGAGAGTGGATTTCTTTTACCTGTGGGTTGTCCTGAGTCCTCTTTGTTAGTCTGGATGGTGGTGCTGTTGGGTTTACCAAGGTCAGCTGGCTCCATGCCGCTGTTGGCTCACCAGGAGATCTGTTCCAGGAAGCAAGGGAGACAGTGGTGTTCCCGCTTGTACAGAGAGGGTACATGCCACCTCCGCCTTGGTGCCTTGGCTGGAGTTGCGTAGTGTGGTGTAAACAGCATGCAAGACATTCCTCACTTTAGGGTTTGAGAAAAATGAGTTGGGATAAGTCAACAATGTCACATATGAGTAAGGAGCTGGTATAACTCTGCCTGCACATTGAATTTATTTATTTATTTTTTGTACCAGGGATTGAACTTGGGACCTTGCCCTTATGTGGCAGGCAGCAGAACCACTGAGCTAAATCCCTGGCCCTGCACATTGAATTTAAGTGGGACCCAAGCAATGCCACTCTTATAAGGTGCTTTCCCTATATACAGTCAATTGGATAAGTCATAGATAACTTGCTCAGGAATCAGTCTGATTCCTCAGAGTAAACACTGAGAAGAAATCATGCTAGCTTTGAAAGAAATGTGGCTGCAATGAAATCTACTCACATCCTGTAGATGATAGAGGCTGTTTTTTCCTAACTTTCTGATTTAGGAATTTTGGCAAGTTAGGGAGGGGAGATTCTAGGGCTGGGAAAATCACAGGACGATGGGTTTTCAGATACTTTCAAAGTTGAGAGATTTTTATGCAGTGTCACAACTAACAATGACGGGTGGTGGCTAGGATGTTCTGTTGTCAATGTATCTTGCCAGGGACTCATATTCATCTCCATGACTACATTGTATAAGCCTGAGTGACATTTAAATGCAGCCTCTTTTACAACTATGCTTTCACATTGAGAAATACAGAGGAAAAAGTGAGCACTCCTCCCATCCTCCACCTTCCTGAGACCCAGCAGACAACTAATGTTATTAATGTCAGTGAGTTGCTGCAAGGCTATTACCCTCTTGGATGGCAACTAGAATACTATTTATTTACTATTTATACAGGAGATTGCTTCTCTCTCCATAATCAATGGTAGATTTCATTTTCACGCTATTATTTGCAAGCTGCAGCTTCTAGTTTCCCCCAGGCATCCTGTGGCTGAAATGAGGCCTCCCTCCCAGTGATGAGTGTGGACACAGTTGAGCTCTCCAAGCTTTACACTCTTGACCCATGCAAGTTAGATTTTACTCTACGGAGGAAGACCGTCTGTTTTTCTGGGATCACATCCCTGCTGAATGTTGATGCAGAGAAGTCTTGCGGGTGTTTGCAGGAGTGAAGCCTCCTCGCTGTATAGGCTGCTCTTTCCTTTCTCCACACCTCTCCTCTCTCTCTGGCGCGACCCAGTAGCTGTCCACAAACAGCTTGTTTGTCCACAAGCTGCAAGTCACAGTGCTGAGTACCTCTTCCTACACCACCTGCTCCAGCTGGCTCTGCCGGGCCACCCACTATGATGAACCTCTCACTCAGCCCAGGACCTATACCCTCTAGCACCTTCTAGGCTGCAGAGGCCAAGTCAGGAGTCAACAGCAGACTCTGAGTAACTGGCTCGCATTCTCTTGGAGGACATGGGGCCCAGAATTCACCCTAGCACGGCTGCCAGCCCTAGGCTGCATGTCACAGTAGGAGGCCAACATCACTTATTTCTACACCACTCACTACCCAGACTGCTTCTTAGAATCTACAGCTGTAAAAACAAAAACAAAAACAAGCAAATTCCATGAATTACGGCTTAATTTGTGTGCTTGTATTTATTGGGAGACAATAAATGAATAGAAAAAATGTGTAGTTATAGTTAAATTTTACTTTAGTGAAGAAGGTAATCTGCATTTCTGGTAAACCCTGAAGCATGCTGTCTGTCTGCAGAGAAGCCTTGAGACATTTCATAGTCTGTAGTGCAGAATGACTTTAGGAATGGTCCAGAGCTTTCCTCTCTGGGGCAGGGGCCAGCATTCTTACAGTCAGGAACATTAACATAGCAGTCAATTGGCTTGAAGTAGATTTTAGTGTGAATCTTGTCTCCACCTGCACTGATTAGTCCCTGCCTACTGCACATAGGAAAGAACTTTTCTATATGTGCCGGAATATGTTCCACCAGATAAAAACTATTAAGGGGTGACAGTTCTGACGGACATTGTGCGGGCTTCTCTACATGCTAGATCACATTAAATTTTTCCAAGAACATTGTTGTTATTATCCCCATTTTATAGATGAGAGATCTGAGGCTCAGGCAAATTCGTGGTGTTTTGCTCAGTGCACTCACCAAGTTGTAGGTGGCAGTGCCTCACTGTGCTGTCTATCCACAGGGTGGGGAAACTGGCGGGCTGAAGAGGTGGTTCTAATAAAATGCTGAGTGAGGGAAGGAGGAAGAATAAAGTGACAGGAGCTGTATAGACCAGGACTATAGTGGGGGAGGTGTGGAAGAGGGCCCCTGGGACAGGTGCAGAGTAGGAGGAAAGTGCTGGAAACATTTCAGGAATCCTCCTGCAATCAGCTTTTTAGTTCATTTGAGAGACTGAAAGAGAGACTGGAGAAATCCTTGCTTTTTAATAAATCAAATAAAATTTCTGAATATGACACTGAATGTTGCAGGTCTTATCTGTGTAAGGTTAATGGATATAAAATTCTCAAAATACAAGAGGCATCTTTTCGGAGCTGATAGTTTAGTTGCCTGAGAACTAAAAGACGGTTGAATTTCTGATGCTCTCCAATGGCACTGGTGGGCTGTGAGGGTGATGAGACTACCTCTGGAGAGAAATAGAGAAGGCAAATTATGTACACGTTTATGCAACTGCTCCACAGCTTAAGGGGAGCTGAGGAATTATGGAAAGTACAGGGACTTAGAAGCCAAAACCATGGAATTTGAATCCTAGCTTGTAGCTTGCCTGTTGGATGAGCTGAGCTTTGCCAAGTCATTTATTCACCTTATTATAAAATGGGCATGCTAGTAGAAGCCTAGAGATTGCATAAGGAATCCTTTCTGTGGAGGAATCAAAAGGTGCAGTGATTTTTACGGTAAATTCCATAGACATCATGAAACAGAATGTCAGGGACCAAACCATCTTCATCTCTGAGGACTTTGCTCCTAGTACTCCTCTTGTGCTTAACAGAAAGTGCTAAATTGCCCTTTATTAATTTACCTGAAAGGACAATGAAAATTTCTAGAAGCTAGTGCACTGGGAAATTGTGTTTCATGTAGTGAAAACAAGGTGCTTTGGGGATATCTCTGGTTTCTGCTCTGAACTCATCTTTTGCTGCAGGACCAGCAGCAAAGCCCCTAGTTGTCACATCGTGTTGGGATACACAGTGAGAAGACAAGCTGATGTATTGCGCTGCAAACTTGGGCAGATCTTTCTGTTGATTAAACAGGCACAGTGCTCCCAGTTTCCTGGGATGTGCTTAGCTCCTTATTTTACAGCTATGTCATTGGTAGGTGTATCAATTTTTATAAGACTGGGCCAGGGCAAGTGGTGGGCACACAAGCTTCTCTGAGCTGTCCTAGTGCAAACCAAAGCACAGAGCTCTATTAACCAGAATTCTGGAAGTGGCACATTCTTGACACTTTTCTTGACTACTTTCTTGTTATATACTGTGCTATAAAGGACTTTACATGGTCTCCTTCTCAACATTCCAACAGTCTTACTAGGTGACTGTTATTATATTTCAACAATAGAGAAGATGAGTGAGGTTTAGAGAGCTCAGTGGCCTATTTACATCAGAAACCAACAGGGCTATGACTAATTCTGCTCTTCTGAGTGGTCTATAAAATATTAACTATTTCTCCATAAGATGACAAACCAGTTATGATGAAGAAAATTAAGTGGAATTATTGTTCCAGAGTTTGACTGTTAAGCATTCTTGACATTTGCTGATTTTGTAATGGGCTTTATGAAAACTCTGATCATCATCACATTTGCTTAACCAGGCACTATGACTGTACCTGACAGCTGATCATACTATTTCTCTTCTTGGAGGGACAGTGGCACTTGCATTTCTCACTTTGTCCAATCCTGACTTTTGTGAGGCTTTATTTTAAGGCTGATTTCTCCTAACCTAGTTCAGCTGTCACGTCTCTGGGGGAGCCTCCTGATCTTCCAGAAGAATCAAGCACTTCTTCCACATACTACCCTAATTTGCCTAAATGCACTTATGGCATTGAAATAGAGGAAATTTCTATGTATATCACTCATCTGAGAGTGAGCTGCCTGTGTTCAGGTTTCTCCTATGCATTTCCAGCACTGCACTTGCTCCTCATAGCACCAGTTCCCAAGACCCCAGCAGATTCTATTATGCCGAGTTGATTGTGGGTGAAGAATAACTTGGTGGCTATGTGTGCTGCTGTGATACACTTGCAGAGAGCAATTAAGTTAAAAAACTGTCTTCAATCTCAGTTATCCCCAGAGGGAACACACACTTGTCTGTAGACCAGCAAGATCTGGAACTGCTTTGGCAGCAGACAGGGTGTGGATGGGGAACTCATCTGGTGCCCTGTGTCCCGTGCTGAATGCTAAACTTTACTCCCCTACACAAGAGTCCGTTGCAAAGCCTGCTCTCGCCAGGCTGTGCTGGTATTAATCCTTGTACTTTCTGATAAATAATAACTTAGGCAAAGGTCACTCTCATCTGTTTTATTGATATCTTATCCTGAGATGGAGAAGGAAGAATCATGCAAGTGAGTGCTGCCTTAACATGGAGCTGGCTGGCGGGCACTGAGGCTGAGCATTGAGCTGGGGCTGAGCTGCATCCAAGAGACTCTCACTGCTGTTGCAGAATTCTTCTAAAATACAGAATCCATAAAAATAAGCTGGCAGATCAGGCACTGGCCAGAAGTCACAGATTCATAAAAGGAGGCTGGTCAAAAGCATGGGCTCTGGAGCCAGATAGCCTTGGCTGAAGTTTAACTCTGCTCCCCTTGGCTGTGAAACTTCCAGAAAATTTCTTCCACTTTCTGTGCTGATTTGCTCATCTCTGATTCCAATATGGCAAGTCATTTAATTAATGTTGGTAAGGTGCTTCCCACACTGCTTGGCACCTAGTGAGCACTGTGAGAGGATGTATGAAATGAAACTGAAGTACTGCCATGGAACCCGAAGTTATAAGGGAACCTTAGAAGTCATGGTAACTGCTCTTCCAAAGTGGGGATACCTTCTGTTGTATTTGTGCCCAGTGGTCATCCCTCTGTGCATGTGCACACCAGCTGGGCAGCCCTTACCTGAGGTACCCTGAGCGGGGAATTGAGCAGGAGTGAGAATGTGAGCGAGGGTGGGTGTGAAGGTGAGCAGGAAAGGGAGTGTGTGCATGACAGATCTCTTACCATGTACAGTATCTCCCAAGGTGAGCAGGAGAGGGAGTGTGTGCACGACAGATCTCTTACCATGTACAGTGTCTCCCAAGGCATCTGCCAGCTGCCGGCCAGTATTCCCCTGGGCTCAAAACTGCAGGACTTCCAGGGGGAGGGACACACCAGCAGGTGAGATGACAAAATTTGTTCCATTTTTCCCTGCTGCTGTGCTGCGGGAGAGGCAGAGTGCAAATGCTGTCTTTAGCAAGGGCAGGTCTTCCCAGAGGAGGTGATTGCTTCCTCTTCTGGGGAAGTGGGCGTGAAGGAGGAAGAGGGTGATTGGCAGAAGGGGCAACCTGGCACCTGGGAGGCCTCCTGCAGTTCAAAGGGAAGAGGCGGGGGGTGAGGGTGAGGCCATCCCACAGAGAAGCAGGACACCCAGCTCATGTGCCTGAGTGTCTTTCTGAGTGTGGAGTTGGGCATGGCTGAAGAAGAGGTTCCCTGAGTAGTAGTCCTGGTCACCCACCTACAATACCACCCACCCAGACTGCTTTACTGTGCTGGGATCCTCTCAAAAAGCAAACTGGGGATTGGAAGTCCTGCTTCTGTCCCATGTGGATGTGTGGTCTTGGCAAGGCTCCACTCAAATTTGAACCAAACCAACAGTTAGGAAAAGAAGTACATCCTACTCATTTGTTTTATATTCAGCCAGCTTATAGCTGTGCCTTGCTTATTACAAATAATAATGATAATAACATTAAAAATAATCGAAAGTTATGTACTGTGCTATAAAGGACTTTACATGGTCTCATTCTCAACATTCCAACAATCTTACTAGCTGTTATTATATTTCAGCAATAGAGAAAATGAGTGAGGTTTAGAGAGCTCAGTGTCCCATTTACATCAGAAACCAATAGGGCTATTGATTCTAATTCTGTTCTTCTGAGTGGTCTATAAAATATCAAGAATATATATGTACATTAAAATATTGATATATGAGCCAGATGTGGTCGTGCATGCCTGTAATCCCAGCACTTGGGAGGGTGAGGCAAGAAAATTGCTTGGTGTTCCAGGCCAGATTGGACTATATAGTGAGTTCAAGGCCAGCCTGAACTGCACAGAGACCCTGTCTCAACCCCACCTCCCAAATTGACATATGATTTAATCACCATCAAGAATTCCAGAATTCTTGTGATGCAAATTAATTTCATAAGAACACTTTCACAGAGAATAGAATTACGCAAAAGAAAGCACCTATCACGGAAATGTACCCTTCCAAGAAACAGAGACTATCTACTAGCTAGAAATTAATGCCAGGAGAGGAAAGCAAAGAAAAAAGTGTTTTTAATACTATGCCACACAGACAGCTGGTAATTTTTACTGAGCGGACTAACTCTGGCATAATACAGGACTTATGTGACACAGGCTCCATTCAAAATCACTTCTTATAGAAGTCTTCAAGCAAAGCACTGGATTCAGTGGGGTTTCCTTCAGACAAAGGCCCAAGATAGAAAACCATCCCCTTGCTTTTCATCTCTTTCCTCTGCAGTGAGGCACAAGATGGCCTTGCACCATTAGAATGGGGAAGTGCATGTGCATTTACATCTGGAGGTAGCACGCCCCAGGCCAGTGTCATTTGTGAAAGCCTCAAATCCCACTTCCAGAGTCCTGCAGCTGCTGCAACTTCCCACAGGAACATTCAGCCCTTGGCAATCAGATCTTTACGCCCTAGGCTGCCCACAACCCAAGCCCCACTGTGGCTCACCTAGGATGAGCTGCTTACTCACAGTCTCTTGAGTTAGAATGTTCATTTTTATTCCTCAGTTCTGTCTCTGTGGGTCTCCAGCACTATGTGCTCCCTTTAAAAAAAAAAAGTGGGGCAGAATCTGCTTTGAATCACAAGACAGAACAGGGAGGAAACTAGCGATTGTCATCCTGCAGGCGGTGATGTCTCTACCTTTCCATCCAAATTCCTAGGCTTGGAGGTCCTGGGAACCAGGGAGCCAGGAGAAGCAGTCCAGCTCAGGCAGCAAAGCCTACATTGGTAACAGAGTAGGGTCCTGGGGACAGAGCCAGCTATACCCGTCAAGCCTTCTTGGCTTGTGACCTGGTTGTATCAGCAAGAAACCCCTTGTCGAGCCCTGTGTCACTTGAAGAATTCCACTGATAACTCTGTGTCTGGGTTTTTGCTGGGTACCAGACACCTAATGCTTCTTCCCTCCTTCTGTGTAGGAAATAGTAAATCCGTCTTTGGGCATGACCTGAAACTTTTAACAAATAAAATTCTGCAAAAAAGAAAGAAAACAATGTAAGGTGTAGCACAATCAGTTTGGAGCAGGGTGTCTTGTCTTTTTTATTATTAATAAAAGCAAATGTATGCATGTACTTATTTGTAATATAATCACCATTAAGAATCTTTTTCAGATACAAGAGTTAGTAAGTTCAATGACTCAATTTGAGAGACCCTGTTGTCAATAAATAGATTCATGGTTTTGAAAAGTATGAATAGGTTTTGTCAAAAATCTGTCCTTGTGACCAACTTAGAATTATATACATTACTATTAAGGTCTTAGGTATTTCATTGTTCAAAATAGATAGTAGGTTTTATGCTGCTAAAGATTAAAGAAAATAAGAAGGTATTTGGAAACCAAGGCAATTCTTAGTAATTAGGCACCCACTATTATTAATACTTACAAATTGATGGACTATATTTTTACCTGACAACTAGCCAGGCCCCTGTAATTAGTAGGCAGTTCGTGTTAGAACAGAGTTCTATTGCTGACATCCAAGCCTGGAAGAGTTTATAGGTCTTAAGATAGTTACAGTTAGAGTTACAGTTAAAATTGTTTCATATAACATCCCCTCAAATCTTGTTTAAATGTAACTTCATTATTGCATCTCTTGGACTCAAAGTAATAGCATGGTAGGGAAATAAATTTGTTTAACTAATTCTATAGCACCCAGAGAAGATATGTCATCCATCTGTCCATGCACTCAACCATCCATCCATCCATCAAATAGCCTGCTATAAGATTGCCTGATTAGCTGCTTGGTTCTAAGTCTTTGGGAATATGACAGTGAACCAGCAACTTGGGCTCACTTCTCATGGGACTTGAAGTTTTGTTCCTTGAGACCATACTTTAGATGTCTATGATAGTAAGAAGAGTCATAGTAACTTACAAGGGCTATGTGGAAACATTGTGAGGTCTATTTGGCCAGAATTATTTGAGCAGAATCTGGTTCACAATTTCCAGTTGCAAGGATGGAAAGATGTTTGTAAAAAAATTTCCCAAATTAGAAGAAGGTCAGGTTGTGTGATTTCTGTGATCATTCTTTTGTAAGAATGTAGCTTTCTAGATTGCTTTGGAAAAAATTTTTAAAGAAACAGTGCCTGGGAAACAATATACAAGACATATCTCCTATATAGGTTAAACATTCCAAAGTGTGAATAAATGAAAAAAGATGAGCTGCAACTGATTTTTCTTTGTGTGTTCAGCTGTGAACCTTGAGAAGTCATTGGGGTCTCTGATCATTTAAGCAGAGACTGTCATGTTTGTTTCTATTTTGGTCAGATGGATATTGGTTAACTTCTTTTTGTTTGTTTGCTTTTTGAGACAGGGTCTCACTATGTAGTTCTGGCTGTGCTTGGACTCAATATATAGCTCAGGCTGGCCTCAAACTCACGGCAATCCTGCTTTAGCCTCCCAAGTGCTAGGATTACAAGTATGCACCACCATGTCCAATGATATTGGTTAACTTCTAAGGGAAGCTCCATTCAGATCTTTATTTATGACTCTAACAACAAAAATACTGAACATTACTAAACACTTGCTGTGTTCTAGATACTCTGTTAGATATTACTATTCACTATTTCAGTGACTCCTCACAACAATGTGTGAAGAATGTGTGTTAGTCCCATTCCTCAAATAAAGAAACCAAGGCTAAAGACCTTAAAAACTTGCCTCAGATCCTGCCAGGAGGAACTGTGGTTGAAATCTAGGTCCACCTTGACTCTAAGGCTTATATTCTTCATCACAGTTGTGGTAGGACCTGTTGCCATCAAGGTTCCAGGTCTCTTGAAATTTCCTGTGGTGAAGGAATTCTAAGATTTTTGGTGGTTAGTCCAGACTCCTGTGACTCATAATGTGTGTCCACCCTGACTGTGTTTACTTGGGATGCTGTGATGATCACCTCTAGACATGCTGTGATGAGGTACAATGCCTTCTTAAAAATTCTGATACTTAATTTTTCACTGTTTGGTTTCTTATGGCAGAAGCAAGTTACTTTTAAACCCACAGGTCTACCAAACTAAAGTGATGGATAGAAGCTTTGCATTTTAATTCAGTTGGAACATAATCAGCACACAGACTTCTTCTGTTTTTTTGTGTGGGACGCTTTTCTGGTTTTCTGAGCTTATACAAAAAGAATTCCAATTTGTAGCTCTGCCTTCAGGAGCTCATCATGGAAGGATAGCACATAAACTGAATGAGAATGGAGACCACTGCAGGAAGACTAAGCAGAAAGCAACACAAGGGAGCCCAGTGTATGTTACCACAGAGTTAGACAAATCTGCTAAGTTTTGCAGGGAAAACAGTGCAGCTGGGTCTCCACCTCTTTCAGGAAGAGCATTTTTTGCTGTTACAACTGATCGCTATGACATGGCTCTCAATTATTCACAGGTGTCCAGGGCATAGGGTCAAAATGAACCATGGAACCTGTCTGCTTTCCAAGACTTTTTGGTATGGTATAGTGTAGAATACATGTAGGCCTGGATTCAAATAACTGCCTCTTACTAAGCTTAGATCTTGAGCAAGTCACTGAGCTGTTTTGAGGTTTATTTACCTCTTCTGCAAAATAGGTTTGTAGCACTTCCTCCATCTATGAAGATGCAATGTAAAAGCCTCTATAAAACATCTAGCATGGTACTAATAGGTAAGAGGAGCTAAAAATGTCAGATGCTTTGGGCTGTGAGCCCTTGTTGTCAGTTTTCTGTTACTATGATAAAATATCTGAGACCATTGACTTAAAAAGAGGAAAGATTTACTTTGGTTTCGGAGGGTTCCAAAGTTGGCCCCATTGAAGGTCAATTGGCCCCATTGTTGTTGGGGCTGTGGTGAGGCAGTACATGGCAGAAGGGCACAGAAGAGCAACTTATTCCTTTCATGGCATCAAGAAAGAAAAGAGAGAGGGAGAGGCAGGCATTCCTCTATCCTCTTCAAGAGCATGCCCTAGTGGCCTAACTTTGTCCAACTAGGTCCCACTTGTTAAAAGGTTCCATGACTTCTCAATAGTACCATGGGCTGGGAACCAATCTTTCAACACATGGGCTTTTGGGGGGACATTTTAGGTCCAAACTGTAGCATCTCCCCCCATCTTATCTTCAGAAAGGAGCACCAAGGTCACTTTCGTATGCATTAGGAAGGTCCTTTAGAACCACTATGTAACTAATGGGCTGGCATGTGAATCTCAAAATCATCTTCATCTTGGAAAGAAAAAGTTTGGAAACTTTGACAGAGATGTTTGAATTTGAATTCAGAGCTTTTTAAAAATCTAACTTATAAAAAGTTAATTCATTGTTGTTATCTTGGGTACAAAGTTAATCTTTCTCCTCAGTTCATGCCACATCATCAGAGGCCCTGAAGGACTTTCTCATGTCTCCTCTGAGGAAAATACTTTGAAAAACACCTATCACTATTTTGTATGCATGCATTTTATATTTGTATATGTGCCTTTATGTATTCATTAACTTTCTTAGTGTTTTTCAGAAAGCGCTATGTTTCAAAGATCCACCTTGTGGTGTTATGTGTGCATCTGATCCCTACTGAGTCCTACTCTGGATGTGCAGCCATCTCATTTGCTTTATCCACTCCCCCACCGATGACCCTCTGGGTTGCCTCTATCTTGTCTCCACTGAGAACAGCTCTTGGATTTCTTGTGTTGACTGCATTATGTTGTCCCTAGGATGTTTACCAAGGAAGTCAATTTCAGGATGATAGGATATACACACATTTTATTTGAATACATATCTCCAGAGTACACTCTGGAGCATCTACCTCTATTACACCCCATCAACATCCCATATCTCATTCTAATAATTGGTTTTCCCGTCTATCTCTTTTACTTTTCTGGTGTGATAGGTGCAAATTTACATCTCATTGTGTTGAAGTTCATTTCAGTAATCACCAATGATTTTAAGCATTTCATAGTATACTTCTTATTTTCCTGCATTTCTCCTTCTGAAATTATCTATTCATGTCTTTTATCCACTTTTCTACATTGGCGTTTTTTTCCTTGTTGATTTGCCATTCATGTATTATATAAAACCCTTGCCAATATTAGATATTACAAATATCTTTTCTGTTTAATATCTATTACCTACCTTCAGAGTTGAAAAGAAATCCTTACTTTGATACATTTAAATTCTCTTTCAGATTGATTTGTTGCACCCTTTGCTCATATACTACATCCCCAACTGCACATGTGTATGTCTCCATGCTCTTTATTTCATTGTTAGTTGATTTTTCTTAATCAAACTGCTTTCATTAACTATACCTTTAAAAGACATATTATTATATAATAGGGCAAGTTTCCCTTCTTTACTATTGTTTTAAAAGATTGATTCAGCTTTCCATAAATTTTTAATTTAATTTTTCCCAATCAATTTTAAAGTAAATTTATTAAATAACCTCCAACAATCCCACTAAAATTTGATTAGGATGGCTTGGTCTATAGATCAATCTCGGAAGAATGAATGCCTTAATAATACTGTTTTTCCATCCAAGACCAGGGAATATCGTTCCATTTATTACAG